ATTTATCTAAGTGGGATGTGAAACTTCCCTATTATTGTGTCACTATGGATTATTTCCTTTATGTTTGTTATTAGCTGCCTTATGTATTTGGGCGTTTCCATGTTAGGTGCATAAATATATACAATTGTTCTATCTTGTTGGCTTCTCTTTATGATTATGTAGTGTCCTTCTTTGTCTCTTATTGTGGTCTTGCTTTAAAGCCTGTTTTGTCCAATCCTTTGCCACCCCAGGTTTCTTTTCGCTTCTATTTTCATAATAAATACTTTTCCAATATGCATATGTCTTTAGGTCTCAAATGAGTCTCTTGTGGGTACCATAAAAATGGATCTTTCTTTTAATCCATTCTGTCACCCTGTGTCTTTTGATTGGAGGGTTTGGTCCATTTATATTCAAAGTAATTATTGACAGATATGTACGTATTACCATTTTGTTACTTGTTTGAGTAGTTATTTTTGTTCCTTCCTTGGTCTCTTCTTTCATGATGTGTTGGCTTTCTTTAGTGATATTCTTATATTCCTTTCTCTTTATTTTTTTGCATGGCTATTACTGGTTTTTCATTTGTGGTTACCATTCGGTTTGTATATAATATCTTAATGCATATAGAATTCCATATTAATTTGATGGATGCTTCAGTTTAGACCCGTTCTAGAAGCACTAAATGTCTACTCCTCGCCCCCACCACATACACACATTTTAAGTATATGATGTCATACTTTACATTCTTTTATTTTGTGAGTCCTTGAGTCACTTTTGTAGATATACTTCATTTTGCCGCTTTTGTGTTTCCTACTTTTCTTACTCCTGCTTATGGTCTCTCATTTTCACTCAAAAGAGTCTTCTTTAACATTTCTTTTAAGGCTGTCTTAGTGGTGATGAATTCCTTTAACTTTTGTTTGTGTGAGAAACTCCTCTTTCTATTCTGAATGATAACTTTGCTGGATACAGTATTCTTGGCTGGAAGTTTTTTGGTTTTTTGTTTTTTCTTTCAGCACTTTGAATACATCATGCCACTCCCTTCTGGCCTGCAAAGTTTCTGCTGAAAACTCAACTGATAGCCTTATGGGGTTTCCCTTGTAGGTAACCTTTTTTTTTTTTGGTCTCATTCTGTTTTTAAAATTCTCTGTATCACTTCTTTTGCCATTTTAATTACTATGTTTCTTGGTGTGGACCTCCTTGGATTGATTTTTTTGTGGGCTCTCTGTGCCTCCTAGATCTGGCTTTCTGTTTCCTTCCCCAGATTCAGGAAGTTTTCAGCTATTATTGCTTTAAATAAATTTTCTGCCCCCTTCTTGCTCTTCTCCTTTTGGGATCCCTATAGTGCAATTGTTATTATATTTGATGGTGTCTCCATGTTCCCTTAGTCTATTTTCATCTTTTGTTATTTTTTTTCTCTCTCCTGTTCAGCTTGATTGCTTTCCATTACTCTATCCTACAGCTTGCTGATCTATTCTTCCGCTTCCTCTAGTCTGCTATTTATTCCCTCTAGTGTATTTTTAATTTTTTAGGTTCACCGATTGTATTCTTCATCTCTGATTAGGTTAGTTCTTTTTGGCATTTTTTCTCTCTTTGCTGAGCATCTCACTGATGTCCTCCAGTCTTTTCTCAAGTATCTTTATGACCATTACTTTAAATTCTCTATCAGCCGTATTACTCATCTCCGTTTTGCTTAGGTCTCTTGCTGTGATTTTTGTCCCTTTCTTTCATTTGGGACATATTCCTCTGTCTCATTTTATCTAACTCTCCGTGTCTGTTTCTGTGTGTCAGGACAGTCAGCTGTGTCTCTTGCTCTTGAGAGTAACGGCCTTCTGAAGAAGCCCTGTAGCGCCCCGCAGTGCCATGCGCCCCATTCACCGGAACCCGGTGCTTCAGGGGTGTCTCCTGTTACGTTGCATGTGCTCTGCTCTTATGGCTGAGACTCTTTTTCCCTTAGTCCAGCCATCTGCAGTGGCTCTCTTTGCCTGTTGTGGGAAGAGTTTAGTCCCTGTGCCGTTAGTGGGCGAGTCTGGGGCCGCTTTAGGCTTGAGCTGAGTCAGACCAGGCATTTGTATCATGCGGTAGCATCAAACTGCAGGGTGCTTTCCCTGCGTTGTCCCCTGAGAAGGTTTCCTTGGTGGTGGGGGGGGGGGGGGTTGGCTATAGTCAGAACAGCTCTCTGCCCCCGGTCCACTGCTGAGGCCATAGTCTGACTGGTGTGTGTGTGTGTGGTTATCTTTCCCTCTCCCTGCAGTGGGAGTCACTTTGGAGTAGTGCCGGCCCCTGTTGGGGCTGCTCGCACGCTGCCAGGCTTGTGGTACCGCTTTGGACAGGTTGTGGCCAAGGGGTATTGGAGGGGGCAGGTCCACAGGAGGATGTGGAGCCCTCGCGGTGCCAGCAAAGTGGCTGGTACTTAGGAAGAGATCTGCAGCAACCCAGGAAAACTCCCACTGAGGCAGGGATGGAGGGGCGGGTCCGAAGAAGCGTGTGGGGGCAGGGCACCCTGTTAGCCGGCCAGGTGGAGAGTGTAGGTGCTGCCCTGGTTCCCGCAGGTGTCTGTGTATCTAGGCTGGGGTGGGGGGCCACCTTCCCCCTCACATCCTATACAAGTGTACCTTTAAAATTCATCTAGAGGCGCCTGGGTGGCGCAGTCGGTCGAGCGTCCGACTTCGGCCGGGTCACGATCTCCCGCTCCGGGAGTTCGAGCCCCGCGTCGGGCTCTGGGCCGATGGCTCGGAGCCTGGAGCCTGTTTCCGATTCTGTGTCTCCCTCTCTCTCTGCCCCTCCCCCGTTCATGCTCTGTCTCTCTCTGTCCCCAAAATAAATAAAAAACGTTGAAAAAAAAAAAAACAACAAAATTCATCTATTCTGATCTTAGCCATCCTGACCACACATAAAATTCTTTCCAAAGATTCCCCTTCACAAATTTTCTCCTTTTTTTTTTTTCATTTAGACTTTGTTGTAAATTCTCCCTCTCTAAATCACCAGTCTCGTTTCAGGATAAAATTACTTTCTTTTCTCTCAACAAAAACTTATTCTCATTCTTTATGCCTTTCTTACATATATCCTACTTTGGCCACGCATAGAGTTGGCTTCTTTATCATTTCCAGCAGTATAATTACATTTAGCAGAATTTTTCTTTTCTTTTTACATTTAGCATATATTTTTTTTTTTTTTACATTTAGCAGAATTTTAACTCTTGGCTACCATAGTGTCCAGTGAAAACTTAGTTACCAATTGTGAACTATTACACCAGAATTCTTTAGAGTGGGAAATTTATGAATATATTTTATGACTTCTAGACACGTGTGTTTTTTCACAGTGCAACTTTCAGTAAAGCACAAAACATGTTTACCAGGAGACCCAAGTATCTTTAGATTCTCTGCAATAAGAAGGCAAAAGCAGATAAACCTAATGTTTGGTAATTAAGGTTTCAGTATTTTATCTTATTTGGAAAAAAATTAGATATCCAGTGAATTCAACCCAGTGTGTCATTCAATCTAGCAAGACTCCAGTGGTTTATGGTTTAAAGATCTTGGAAGCTTTTTAAAAGTTCATGAACATTTCCTTTAAAACTGACTAGCTCTGGGGCACCTGGGTGGCTCAGTTGGTTAGGTGTCCGACTTCGGCTCAGGTCATGATCTCACCGTCCATGAGTTCAAGCCCCGCATCAGGCTCCGTGCTGACAGCTCAGAGTCTGGAGCCTACTTGGGATTCTGTGTGTGTGTCTCTCTCTGCCCCTCCCCCGCTCATGCTCTGTTTCTCTCTCTCGCAAAACTAAACATTAAAAAAATTTAAAAAAAAACCAAAACTGACTAGCTGTTAACAATTACCCATGAAACCTTGAGACCAAATCAGCCATCATTTTAAGTCATTTTTGCTGACAGATTACAAGAGTTTCAACGTTAATCTGATACATTCAGGTAGAATAAAAGCTGATTATGTGTATTATACTTGACGTTGATGGTTCCAAAAACATGTCTATTTTCATTAAATCAATGGCTTGGAACTAGCGTTAGTACCGAATGTGTTGCACATGTGTCTACCACGACATTAGTCAATTTGCTCCCTGCCGTCAACTTTAGCCGGGGCTCCTGGGGGGAAAGCTGAAATGAGCGGTTTGAGTCCAGGGGAGCCCTTGGGCCCCTTCATGCTGATCTGGGACATGCTCCGGTTTGAACCTCATCAGGAGGTGGCCTGACAGCTTCCGGTCCTCGGAGGTGAGGGTAGGAGGGGCCGGTGGTGCCAGAGGTGCTGAGGGTGGTGCGGGGGCCGGCTGTGCGAGGGCCCCAGTGGTGGTTGTGCGGGAACAGGAAGGGGGACCGTAGAGGTGGGTGGGGTGCTGCCGGCCGGGCCAGAGGCAGATTCAAGGTTGGGACTAACATCTTTCCATTTCCATCTCCTGTCTCTCCCTCCTGCAAGACGGGCTTTCTCTCTGGTTGTTTTCAGCCGTCTGGAGGAGGCAGGACTGGAGGCAGTGGACGGGGCGTCAGTTCCGGTGCTTCTGTTTGGGGAAGTGGATTTAGGATTTCCAGTGCCTGTTTCCTCTTCCTCTTCCTCATCTTTGTGACTTCTGAGAAGGGCGTTGGGGGTCTTGGATCTGTGCCCATCCTTGTCTCTCTGGACCATCGGTTGACATGAGGCGTCTTTATTACGGAGTAACCCCAAAAGCCTGAATGTAGGGAATTTCATCCCAGATCACGTAAACTTGGAAAACATGTGGGTTAGTTTTTATCTTTCTGAGTTTTAGAAGCGATGGCCCCTAAACCAATTAAATAGAGCTCTCTTACAAATTAATTTTAGCAACACCATCTGGAAGTGGAGAAAAGATCTCCGTTATTACACACGGACATATAGACAAGATGCAAACAATACATAGCCTTTGTTTCACTAACATTTGTGGAGAAGACATTAAAGACCCGATTTCCGACTATCCCCCTTTTATCAAAACAAATCTAACTGCAAGATGGCATTATAATTTATGGGTCCATCAGGTTTTTGTTTTTTTTTTTTTCCCCATTTTCCAGTCAGAACACAGCCAATTTTGCCCAAAGATGCCAAAAGCCGCAACAGCAAACAAGCCAAATGTAGCCCAGAGGACCTCCGTGAGCACCGATCGAACCAAACGGCTTCCTAGTTTCCGGTCGCTTTCTCTGTGTGCACGAGAAAACGAATTGAGACGTGTGGAAAGAACCCCATTTGGGCCGTCCGAGACTTCGAGTTTCCCAGTTAAGTAGGCATTGCGAATAGAGGTTCCCTATGTGTTGTGCACAGAGCCTGCCGGAGCTCCCGTGGGTGGTGGGTGGTTTTCCGGGAGCTTTCAGCTCTCGAAGCACGGTTCCCTGTTCCTCTTGTCGTGGTTTTATTTTTCGAGGAAGGCTCGAAGGAGATCTAAAGATGTTAAGTGTGGTGGGCCAGTCCGTGCTGCTCAGATCCCTTCCCGGGAGCTGGGGTACACTCTCTTACGCGTCGCGGTTTCTCCCCGTGAGGTCTGAGACCATTGAGCACCGGATGATCAATCCTATGTGTGCGTCCCCAGACGAGCCAAGCATTAGTTACCTCATGAGGTGGGAAGTTCCTCCGGGACCGCCACGTGTCACGAATAGCCACAGACGCTTCCGCGAGGCTCTCGGTCACCTGAAGGCACCATTTGGCCCGAAGGAGCAAGCGTCCCTTCTCTTCCAAGCTGAGTGATTCAGTGTCTCGTGTTTGTAGCCAGAAAGTTTACTCCAGCCTTCCGTTAATAGAATCGATGATGATAATGCTCAACAAAAACAACCAACCCCTGTAGGTTATTCCCGCCCGGAGAACGTCACAGGCAACCCTCAACAGCTTGAGTACGAGGGCTGTCGATTCAAACTGAGGGGCTTGGATAGCAGGAGTCACCGGTACACCCGTGAGAAGTCAGAGGGCACACAGGGCTCGTGCTGGGACGGAGCGCCGAGTTCCAGACGACCCCCAGCTGTGTTCAGGGGGGTTGCTCTGACACACTGCTGACTCCCCCAAGAAAGGTTGAGACAGGACAAACCTGCCTTAAAATATTAAAGAGAGGGGCTCCTGGGTGGCTCAGCAGGTTGAGCATCCAATTCTTGATTTCAGCTCAGGTCATGATCTCACAGTTCATGGGTTCGAGCCCCACGTCGGGCTCTGCCCTGACAGTGTGGAGCCTTCTTGGGATTCTCTCTCTCTCCCTCTCCCTGCCCCTCCCCCCAAAAAATAAAGAGAAAGAAAAAGCATCTTATTCGAGCCCAAGTTGGGGCCGCCACCCAGGATACATAGTCTTCACAAAGGTTGCTCCGGGGAAGGAACGTGGGCTGCAGGATTATATGTTTATTTACACAGAATTTACACGGAGTTACAGAGAGAATCCAGAGGAAGGGCATTCCGGAAAGCGACAGGCTTTATCTTATGTTTTTAGTGTGCATGAGACTGTATGACTTTAATCTTAGGGAAAGCATGGGGTTTCTTTCTTTATGTCTGGAACGTTCCTTTTTGGTTATTATTGTTATTATTATCATTATTATTATTTAACAAAGCAGATGTACTGTGTGTGCACGGCAAAGAAATAGAGCCCACGCTTGGAGGTTTTGCTGAATCCTTTTGACCTTGGTAAATGTTCAAGTATAGCTTCCCTGGGAGCCTAGGAACAGGGCCCACGAACGTTAAAAGTCGGAAATTTCCTTTATTTTATCAAAGTATCACACATAATCCAAAACTGGAGTCCTCATCGTTCTGTTATCTAACGATCCCAGAGGATGACGATGGTGATGAACATACATCATTTCTGTATCAGGGAAAATCTGAAAATAGGCATAAATTGAAATGAAAACCAAGTCATTTGCATGCACTTGCAAAACAAAGCTTACGAGTGAGAAATCATGGCTGAAAAAGAATCAGGACAACTGGGATCGTGAAGAAAAGTTCGGAGCAAGTGCTACGCGCTCCGCTCACAACTGCGGCTCCTGGTGTCGGGGGCTGCGATGAAATCCCCTCTGAAAAATACAAAATGTTGCTCAGGAAAGTGTGTAGGAGAAAGTGTACACAGGGTTCTAAACTAAAATCTTAACAGCGGTACATCCATATCACCGTAAACTGCACCCCGTATCTCCGGGCGCACCTGTTAGGAAGCTGGTCGGTCCCTCAGAAACCTGCCATGTTGCCCCTCTGGGGACGGAGGCCAGGCAGGGTACACGGCAGCACAAGGCAGACGGTCGTGTTCATCGTGGGTTGGTGGGCAGTGTGGCTGATCACGGGGAGTTTAGGTCCAGATTCCTAGAGGGTCACGCTCCAGATGTAACCCAGGGGTACACCCGCTGTCTCCTGACGGCACGGTGGCCGCCCAAAGCCAAGGTGCCATTTTTCACTGCTGTTCTCAAAGTGGATCCGTGAGTCTCCGTTAAAGAGGTTATAAAATGTCCAAGGGAACCCACACCCAGGACCTCTGAAAATCCCGTCTTTGCCAGCATCTCACACATCAGGGCAGCTGCCCGCGTTTTTCTCCGAATTCTCCCTCCTGCTTGGCCAGCGCTGGCTCTTTCCGCTCAACTCTGCCCGCGCCTTCTTGCCTCTGGGATGGGACCCCTTGGGGAGCTCGGGGCTCACGCCCCGGGGCTGCAGCCGAGCCCGGCGCACGGTGCACACTGCTGTGGGGGGAGGGGGGGCACCAGGTCCCTGAGGTGAGAAACAGGGGGTGAAGGCCGCGCCTTCCCCTGCTTCCCCTCACCACGTAAAACCAGACGCGCGCGGCATTCCGGGCCGAGGAGTCGACTCTGCCCCGGTGGCCATCGGTACTTCTGCTCGGTGTCAGGGTCGGCTGCGCCCTGCCCGTCACATCACCCTGCGCAGGTGCAGCGTTAACAGGACGCGGTTTCCGTTACGTGGGGTTGCCGGTGGTAAAAGTAACCTCCTAGGCGCCGGGAAGGGCGGCCCCGGCCGGTGCGCCGAGTCCCTCTGCTCCCGTAGGTGCCGCGGTCCTCAGGGAAGGGCATGACCTTCTCTGTCCTTGTCCGGGACCAGCGGGTCGAGTCCCGTCTCTCGGGCTGACAGCAGAAGGGAGTCCCTGAGCCCAGCACGGACGGGCTGCGGCGGGACGCCAGCCCCAGGAGGACAAGTGCTGCGGCGGGAGCCGTCCCTGTGTGCAGCCGGGGAAGCCACGTCGCCCCCGCCCGCGCCGTGAGGGGTGGATGTGCGCCAGGCATGACTCCCCGGCAGGCGGCGGGTCGGGACCGATCTCACGTGGCTTTGGCTGTGCGTGTTCCTGAGCGGACATCACCTCGCCTGCCCGCTGGAGCCGCGTCATCCGGCGCTCGCTTAAAGCTAACGTTCCCACGGGAGGGGATCGCTCTTGCTTCTCAGCCGAGGAAATACCATCTCTACTCCCTGGCCTCCAGACCCCACGTCCTCCCTTCCTGGGGTCAGTGGACCTAACTGTGTGGATGGTTTTCCAGTCGTAAACCCCGGGCACCCTGCCCCTGCCCCGTGCCAGGCAGGGCTTCCGTTCCCGATCTGGTGAACAGAAGGGGAAGCCAGGCTTCTGGGCGCGGTCCCTGCTCTGCCTGCCCAGCCCACGGTTCCCCAGCACCGAAGAAAGACCTCCAGGGCCACCCTGGCCAAGATGCCACGGACGGCGTAACTTAGCAGCTCGGGAGCTTTGAAACCTGAACCCAAAACCCTGCGTTGGCTCAGGGGGCAGAGGGGCTCAGCCTCCCATGGCCTGACATAGTGGTGATGCCCATTTGTGTCTGTTCTCTGTACGGCGGAGAAGGAGATGTTCATGGACCCTTGTTCTGTCGTTCTGGAAGTACCTCCCCGTCTGCTGGTTTTGTCTTGTTTCCAACACGGTGAGTCTTTAATCCTTCCTGGGTCAGATGCCTTTTCAGATGTGACGGGCGCCAGAGAAAGATACGCAGACACGTGCACGCACGCACCCGGATGCATTTGCGTGTAACTCTACACGTGGATTCGGGGTTCTGGCCACTGGGTTTGAGAGGGTTCAGTTCAAGTCTGTGGAAGAGCAGGCGGTGAACTCGCAAGAAGTTCTCCCCAACCTCCACTCTGCTACTCGCTGGTTTAACTGGTCTTCATTTCCTTCTTTCTTAAAAGCCGGCGAAACACACAGAATTGACGACGTCCGTCATTTCTAAGTGTCCAATTAAGTGGCAGTGAGCGTATCTGCCTCGTTCTGTAACCGTCACCCCCGTCCTCTCCAGAACTTCACTGTCCCCCACTGAGACTCTGTCCCCATGGAACACGAACTCCCCATCCCTTACCCAGCCCCCGGTGCCCACCGCCCACGGTCTCTATGGATTTGACAGCTCTAGGGACCCCCCCCCCCGCCCCAGAAGTGGACTCACGCAGTATTTGTCCCTTGTGACTCCCTTATTTGAGCACAACGTCCCCGGGGTTGACCCATGTTGTAGCAGGTGTCAGGATCTCAAGACTGAGTGTTGCGTCGGGTCCACGGGCTACCTTTGGCTTCTCCGTTCATCAGCAGATAGACACTCGGGTTGTTCCCCACGCTTGGGTGCTGCGACTACTGCTTATGAACGGGGGTGTGTAAATGTCTCACGAAGAGCCTGCTTTCAAACCTTTTGGGTAAAGACCCAGGAGTGGAATCGCTGGGTCTTAGGGCGCTTTACTTTTACACGTCGAGGACCCTCCACACCGCTTTCCGGAGCGGCTGCGCCGGTTGACATTCCCACCAGCGGTGCACGAGGGGTCGTTTCTCTACCTCCTGGTTTTTCTTTTTTTTGACAGTAGCCGTCCTGATGGGTGGGAGGTGTGGTTCACCGTGGCTGTGATCTCCGTTTCCCTGACGATGAGGATACTGAGCACCTTACTGGCCATTCACCTTTGGAGACACAGCTGTGGAGTCCTTTGCCCATTTTAAAACCAGGCTTTTTTCTTGTGGTGGAGTTGGAGTCTTTATATACTCTAGACCTGAGCTCCTTATGTGATACAGGATTGGCAAATGTTTTCTCTCATTCAGTAGCTTGTCTTTTCACTGCTGGTGGTGTCTGTTGATACGGAACAGGCTTGAATTTTGATGCCCGATTTACCTGTTTTCGCTCTGTGCTTGTGCAGACAAGTAAGCGCATGCCTCAAAGGCGTTTTTTACACAGAATCGGAGGGAAGCAGGAAAGGCTTTCCGGGGCAGTGAGCAAGAGAGGCTGCCGGACGGAGCGGCAGGAAGCGGTGCGTGTGGCTGACGGGACCGAGGGCCTGGGTGGGGACGTCCCGAGGCATTGGGACTTCAGGCCGCACAGCCTGGGTACCTTCTTCTTAGCAGGACCGTGGGACAGTACGGAGGGCAGCGGGGAGGGGAAGAGACAGGAGGCAAGATGAGCCTGGCGGGAATGGGGACGGACAGACGCGACCATCTGTGCAAGTGAGCTGACGGAGCGAGGGGACGTGTGGACAGGCGGTGAGGCGGGGGACAGCCGGGGGACGTGCCAGCCGCGGCAGCTCGGAGGCGGCCATCGGGTGTGACGAGAACGGGGGCGGGGCGATGGGGCCTGCCGGGTGCGCGGCGGCTGATGGAACAGACGTGGGAGTGCAGTCACCGGTGGGTGTGCAGAGGCAGCTAGGTTCCCGCGGATGCAGACCTTCCTTAACTGCACGCTTGCTTTTTAATCGAGCAGACATCGGGGGCTCGGGAGGGCTCCCCGAGAGCGCGGGTGCCTGGGTCGAGGGGCTTTGCCTCCTGCCTGCGGGCCGTCTCCGGGGCCTTGCTCGCTCGCAAGCCACAGGGTTTGAAGACCGTGGCGTCGTGTGGCCGGTCCCACTCAACCGTTCCTTCTGCAGTCCCCAGAGGTGGATTACAACACGTCCAACCTTTCCCGGTGACCGTGGGGACACGCAGGATTTCTCCCACTCTCCTCTCGACACGACGCACCTCCCGCTGCAAACGGACACCCCTTTTGCCACCCGTCTGTGGCAGGGAGCAGAATTCCGGGGACTGCGGTCTTGGAGCTTCTCAGATGGACCGTCCACCTCCTCACCGGCACTCGCGGTGCCAAAGGGAGCCCGCACGGGTGGCCGCCGGCCCTGCAGACACGACACGGCCACACCGGGTCCCCGAGCATGGAAGTGAGCCTCGTGCAGGTAAGGAGCTGGTTTTCATCTTATTTAGGATTAGCTTTAACTTAAAAACGGCCACGAACTTTGTTGCTGGGAAACAGTCCTGCTTAGGATAGCTTGGGCACGTACACCTTTTTAAACTGTAAGTGGCATGAAATCTAAATACAGAGAAACCATTTCCAATGAAAATTTATTGTCAGAATCGAGATGCGCTCTAAGCGTAAAACACACAATAGATTATTTAAAGACGGCACCGAGAACACCACCACCGTCGCGGTAATCTAATATTGATGATCTGTCACTGGGACGGTATTTTAGATACGCTGGTGTGGCGTTAAATAAAATTGCGAACACTTAAAAGTTGTTTAAATTTTCGTGTGGCTACTAGAAATTTTTAAATCGCACATGTAGTGTCCACTTCTGCTGAACAACCCTGAGCCAGACAACACAGGATGAAGACTTCGTTTTCTTAAGAGGAAAGAACTCCTCTCATCAACTTCCGTGAGAAGCGTTTACCTGAAGTCTCTATTCTTACGTGTTCCTCTGGAGCTTCCCCGGAGCCGCCAAATCCGTGCTCGACAGCTGCGTGAGCCAGCTGGCTGCAGACAGCTCCTGGAGTGCTTAAGGATGATTTCTTGGCAGCTTTTGGAAAAAAACACTAATTGAAAGGTTAATCAAATCAGTCATCCTCGCGTGTTGGTTAAGCAGACGCCCCGTCTCCGCCGCAGACTGAACAGATGCGGGGCTCTGCGTCCGCGCCTTCGCTTTTGAGCACGGAAGCAGTGGGGTGGCATTCTGAATCGAAATCGTGTTCTCGGTTGGGAAACTCTGCTTCCCTTTCAGGATCTTGCGGGATCTACGTTGGTAGCGACACTAATTCCAATTCTACAGGGGATTTTTTTGTTTGTTCATTCTGAGAGGGGGAGAGAGAGAATCCCAAGCAGCCTCCACACTGTCGGCACAGAGTCCAAGGCGGGGCTTGAGTCCCTGAACCGACGTGAGACGAAGTCAAGTCAGACCCTTGACCAACCGGGCCACCCAGGCGCCTCTGCAGGTGAGTGTTCCTAAGTCTGCTTAGGTGCAAAATTATTAGCTTCTAAGCAGGCGCGTTTTGTTAAAAATACAAGTAAATGCCAGAATATGCACTGTTCGTAGCACATACTCAAAGAGCTCAAGATAGATACTCCCAGTAGCCGACAACAATAAATACGTGTCGGTCACGCCAAGGCTGAGGGTGTGCCCACACGGTAATCGGGCAGGTCACTGGGAAACACGCAGAAGGTCAAGGGTTAGACAGGGGAGAATCACTTGAAGACGCTGACCCGTACCTTAAAATTACAAAGTGTGTGGTGATGTCCCTTCCGCCTGTAGGAAGAACTCCACGTGGTCCCACCCCAGCAGAGCTGAACACCCAAAGAAACTGTCCTGAGCGTGTGATCGTCACCGGAGCCCTACAGGAACACTAAGAATTCCCAACATGGAATTCAATTCGTTCTGTGTTCATGTTTTTAACGCAGGTGTTCCGCCTAAACCAAGTTCAAGAGTTAAACTGTAGAGGCTGTGCGGTTAGAGAATAAACCATCAAGTGGGTCACAACTGTTTCAAGGAAGACGTCTGCTTCTAGGAAGGCATTTCGGGAATCGTTATGGAAGCAAACTCTGAACACGCCAGATGAGCACGGTAAGAGCACCTCTGTGGTGGTATTGCTTAAACACGCTCCTGTACTGAACAGGACAGCGTAACAAATGTGTCAGGACTGACCTACCTGCTGAGACAGTGGCCTCTCGTTATTTGATGGTACCCACAATCCACCCGGAAGTGTGTGAGAGCCACGTGTGGGGCGGGAGCAGGACGGATATGTGGTGTCCGAGGTTCCGACTGGTCGGTGTCCGCATCGCAGGGGTTGCTGAACGTTCTGGGTACCCCTCTGCTTGGGAGCTTATTACATTGGCAGAGAATGGCTGCCTTCCAGAAATGATTTCTTTGGGAAAAGCTTAGAATATATTTTGTCTTGGAATGACTTAAGATGTGATCCAGTTTGATGCATGTCATATAAATGATGCCAAAAAAAAAAAAAATACAGAATAAATTCTAAGTTCAAAAGTACATTTATTTAAAATGTGGGCAAGATATCAATATAAAAGAAAAGAGTATAAGAAATAAAAATAATCAAAGTACAAAACATTTCAAATCTTTAACATCATAATTTAGAGATAGCAAGGTCTTTATTTACACCATTTTATTTGTAGTTGAAGTTCTGTTAACAGTGTTGTGAAAACATTTAAAAACCTGGCAAATGAATCATAAAACCTAATGTGGGCTCATAAATTCATATCATACAAAACATAATTTATGTTTCCTCAGAATAAAATTACACATCTTAAAAAGATGCAGCATATGTATCCTATTGGTTTTCCTGCTCTAGAGCGCCTGCCTCCCAAAGCAGCTGGCAAACGCGGGCCTCTGCAGGAAGCGGGTCCGTCCACCCGACGGCGGCCGCGGCCGGGCCCGTGCCCAGGACTCCAGTCGCGGTGCGGATGCCATCAGTTAAATTTATACGTAGGTTTGTTGAGGAAAACACGCTTCAAACACGAGGCAAGCTTACATCCCTACGGGACCCCAAGTCTAGTTAACCAGCGTCAGGGCCCATCTAAGACCCTGGACCGCGTTCCTCGTACCCACTCAAACCAGGCAACCCGGATCGGGGCAGCTTTCCACGTGCCCTGCACGGACTGCCACGGCCCGCGTACCCCAGCCTCTCTGCGCCGGGGCCTGGGACCAGCGCCCGTGAAGAGCCAGCGCGGCCACCCCGCGGAGGCGGCGAAGCCGAGGCCGCGTCACGGCGGATGCCCCTTTCGGCCACAAGGCAGAGCCCAGGCAGCCGCCCCTGGGGCCCCACACAGGACCACCGCCCCTCCCCGGCAGCTCTCCACGCAGGCTCCGTTCTGTCTCTAGACAGGACACGAGGCCCCTGAGAGGACACCCCCACATCACCCAGATGACTTCTAAAGCAGTTCTTTCTGAAAGTCAAGGTGGCACAGACTAGACATTCACAAACGTCTAAAAATCTGGAAAAGACGTAAGAGTACGAATCGTATGAAGACAGATGCTCCTAGCTTACGGCAGGGCACCCGCAACGATGCAGCCGGCCTCTTACCGCCCGCGCCACACGGATGCGTGCGGTTCTGATCCTAGTGGGGAGGGGGGCCCTGCACCGAGCCGCCTTCAGAAAAAGGATATGATTCATAGTCCAGTGTCTGCGTGAGCACCCCGGTGAGCACGAACTCTGCGTTATGGACGTCTGAAAGAGAGGGGCGGACCGTGAGGACGGACGCGCTGCTGTGCGCTCGCGCCCACAAACACGGCAACACACCGTACCTATGCCCCGTGCGAAATACTCCCGACATAAGTGCAGGTCGTTCTCGCAGGATATTAAGATGATCTCTGATAAGCTCTAAGGAAAAGAAAGGGAGTTTATCGGTCACCGAACAGTGAATCTCGTCTGGGACGGCGAGGAGTCGGCTGTTTCCCTTCTATCCACCTTATTTTGCTTGTGCTCCACAAGTTTCCGGAAAGACGGCTGTTTAGACAATACTCGTCCCCCTGCACATTCCACGATCGCCTTCATGGTTGACAGGCTTGGGCAGATTCCAGGCGTGATGTAAAAGTATTTTGCCTAAAAATGAAATGAAAATACGTGCACTTTGAATCGTTAGGGTACGTCAGTCTTCATAAATCCTACCCTGAGGGTTTCGACAAAATGTGTCGTCTCGGGAAGTTCCGGAAGGAAGTACCACCCCGCCGTGAGTCCCCAGCCTGAGACGGGCGTGGAGGAAGCCAGGAGGTAAGTGTGGAAAAAACAAGCCTGTCCTTAGGTGTGAGCTGTGAGGAGTACAAGTGACTGGAACTGACGTTCCCAAAAGACACGAAGAGTTCTGTGGGATCGGGAAGAACAGTGTAAACATTTTTCACAATTTCCATAGAATTCTAAATGGGCATTAGATCATCCCCCTCCGTCTGTCAAGCGCGAGGCAGGCACAGCGCCTGTGTTATTGTCATTACCCGGGCCTGGTCGGTGCTCCGAATAAGAAATGATTCTGATGGTTAAGATTCAGTTTCCTAACGCCTTTGTTTTCAAGTGTTCCATAAAGCACGGTGTTAAACTACTTGCAGGAAAAGAACTAACGTTTGGAAAACTCTGCTGTTTCGAGGGAGATACACCCTAACGGCATTCTCGTGCCTCAGCTGGTTCCTTAGGTGTAAAAACAGAGCAGCCTGAACGTTTTTTTGTGTGTGTCCAAGTAGCTTCTCTAACAAATGTTTAAACATCTTCAGCCTTGAGTTACTCAGGCATACGTTCAATTCACGTTTTGCCAAGAATCTTCTTTCTCCAGCTGCGTGTGCGTTTAATGAGAAGAGCGTTAAGTAGCAAAGATTTGTTAAAAGCAGAAAAACCAACTTAAATGCCTCGCACCGATTAAGTTATCCCTGGCCACGCGCTCCGGAGGCACACTGGGTCTCCCCGGCCAAGACCTCCAGTAACATGTCCCGGGAGGAGCACCAGGCTCCCCCCCCCCCCCCCCCCCCCCCCGCCGGGCGTGTGTCACCTCCAACCGTGCCATCTGTAACTCCGTGGGGACCTTTCCCTTTAAAGTGTACCTTGAAGAGTGGAGAAGCGTGTGCCCTCTTCAAGGACTCTTCCAGACTGAAAGAGAACAGCACTTCGGCCTCAGCGTCTCGGAGGAGGTAGTTCTGCTCATCTGGAAGACAAGAGCCGCCCGCTCAATGAAGTGCAGACTCAGGGGACACGGGCCGTGCACCCCAGAGGTCGTGCCGCCGGTCAAGTGCACGCCGCTCGAGGCTCACGCTTCCCTGGGAAAGCTGTGAATCCTGAAATGTCAGCTGTATGTCTGACAATGTCACTCACTCTGCCTGGAAACAGCCAGAGCAGGTGAGGGACAGTGCGTCTTCACCTTCTGAGGTTATAAGCTCGTGGGAGACAGTGGACTGAGAGGAAGGGCCCCTCCCGGCCGCCGCTTTGCACTGTTTCAGGGAGCTCATGGGGAGGTCAAGAACCCCAGGCCCCAAACGACCAGCTCGGAACGAGCATCACACCCAGCGTGTGTGTGTGAAATACCACAGGTCTTGGACTCTGTGATCTGATGACCACGAATCTTTATAGATCTGACAAAAACATATGCCGTTTAAATACCGGACGGCGTATAGCACCTTAGAAAGAATGGTTTCACCCGACTTAGAAGCCTTTGGGCAATTTTAGTTGGTTTTCAGACTTACAAGAAAAGTTAAAGATCACAAAATGTCTTAAGCTTCTCATAAATGTCTCACGATCAGAGAAGCATTTCTTCCTTTCCTCGTTTTCTAAGAGTAGCCCAGTAGCATCACCGCGCTCTGGCCAGACGGCACGCTGCTCCCCGACACGGTGGCTCAGGCCGGGGACACGTGCTCCTTCAGCCACACGTCCTTCTCTTACAGGGTTGCTTTAAAAATGTAAAAACCAGTCCTGGCTCACGGGCCACAGTTTGCCGACCCGGAGCAAAGCAAGCCAATCGGTAAAGAGACCCTGAAATGACGAATGACGAACTGCTAGAGATACGAGGTCAAGTGATCAGCCAATCCGAGGAGGCGGCTCTGCGGTTTTCGGTGGGAAAAGGTAGGACTGTCCGAAAATGGGAGAAGTGAAAACAAGCGGTTCAGTCCCACGGAAAATGTCTGACGTGTAAGTTCTAGGGCAAAACGCGAGGCTGACCTGCCTTCTCAGGAGCTGGTGAAGAGCCCCACGCGGCGGTCAGGGGCTTGGATGGAGAGAACGGTCCCCGGAGGAACAGCGGCTCTGACGACCCCATTACGGGGAGATTTCAGGCAGGAAAAGAGCTGCGTCACCCTTGGGAGGAGTCAACCTGAAAGCTAAGCTTTTCACAGCCGCACAGCGGAAATGAGCACCCCAGAAAGAGACAGTCTGTAAAAGTAGCGTCTCAATCTCTGTAAGTCAGAGACAAACACGGAATTACAAAACCACACCCCAGCACATGATGAAAGCTATCGGGCCCACGTGGGTGCTAGAACCTCAGCCGAGGGAGCCGGTGCAGGCAGAGAGGCGGCCCTGCACCCGCAAGGCGGTGCTGGCGATGCCGGGACATGGGTCACGCGCGGGAATGAGGTAAGGAAACACGCGTAGCGTTCTGGAAGCCAGGCTGCTCGCCACGGGAGAACGGATTTACAAACGCAAGAGCAGAAGAGCTACAACTTTCTTGCGCGAAACCCAGAAGTGTTCAAACGCAGAGAGGACAGCCTGAGGGGCCCTGAAGCAGAATGGCTCTCACTGTCCAAGTCGGGACAGTCTAGGCATCAAGGACAGCATGGTAACAACCCACGGAATGCAAGAGAAAAAGGGCTGCACACAAGGAGATAAACGAGTACATCAAAGGAACGGTGGCCATGGCACACTTCCCAGTACTTCCCCACAGACTTACTACAGCGGAGGCGGCCAGCAGGCATCGCCTGCACCCAGGGGTCCCCGTGACCCCCTCCAGTGACACAACAAGTCAGAACTGCACCACCCCGGCGGGAGCCGCGCGAGGGCACGGCGCCCACCGGAGTTCCCGCACTCCCTCGGGGGAAGCGGTGGGCAAACCCACACGGAGACGTGACGACCGCGTGTGCTTCTGAGCTACCCTGTGGCTTTCAAGGAAGGACATCACGGGGACGACCAGGCAGAGCCGAATGAGGTCTGCAAACGAGACAGTAGCAGCAGATCCTGATTTTGGCGGCTGTGCCGTGGCCGTCTGGCAGAGCATCCTCTTCTGTAGGTAACACACGACATCAGGGATGATGGCGCGTCATTTTGGGAACGTACTCGTTCACGGTTCAGGAGAAAGCAGCGATCTGTACTGTTTGCTAACTGCAACTGTTTGCGAACTTGGGGATTGTTTAAAAAAAGGTGAGAGAGATTTGATTTCAAAAGCCAAATGTGTTCTTTAAAAACCCATCAAACGCTAACAGATGAGTAAAAGACGTGAACCTGAAAGCAACGATTCAGGTATTAATGACTCCAGATAACCTAAGGTCCATATTCTTGAGAAACTTCAAGCTTTTGGCAAAACAGAAGGTCTTTAAATATGTATTAAAAACCAAACACACCAACAAACTGACCCTAAAGTTCACACGGAAAGCAAAGACACAAAGCAGCCAGCTCGACACTGAAGGACAGGAACAAAGATGGGGGCCGCCACTGACGGACCTCAGTGCTCCAGCAACAAGACCATGTGGCACTGGCCAAACAAATAGATCAATGGAGAGAAGCCGAGAGACAGAGCCAAGAAACAATCACCTTGGTTTTCAACAAAGGTGCAAAGGCAATCTGAGCAAAAATCATTTGACAACTGGACGTCCACATGCAAGAAACTGAATCCAGACACAGACTGTACATCCTTCTCAACTCAAAATGCATCACTGACCTAAGTGTAAAACACAAAACCATAAATCTTCTAGAACACAGAAGAAAAATCGAGATGACCCTGAATATGGCAATGACTTTAGCTACAACACCAAAGGCATGATCCACGGAAGAAATGTGATAATCTGGACTCCGTTAAAATTGAAAACTTCTGGGGCGCCTGGGTGGCTCAGTCGGTTGAGCATCCAACTTCGGCTCAGGTCATGATCTCACGGTTTCTGGGTTTGAGCCCTGCGTTGGGTTCTGTGCTGACAGCTCAGAGCCTGAAGGTTGCTTCGGGTTCTGTGTGTGTCTCTCTCTCTCTGCCCCTCCCCTGCTCATGCTCTGTCTCTCTCTCTCAAAAATAAACATTAGAGGGGTGCCTGGGTGGTGCAGTCGGTTAAGCGTCCGACTTCAGCCAGGTCACGATCTCGCGGTCCGTGAGTTCGAGCCCCGCGTCAGGCTCTGGGCTGATGGCTCAGAGCCTGGAGCCTGTTTCCGATTCTGTGTCTCCCTCTCTCTCTGCCCCTCGCCCGTTCATGCTCTGTCTCTCTCTGTCCCAAAAATAAATAAACGTTGAAAAAATAAATAAATAAATAAATAAAAAATAAACATTAGAAAAAATTTAAAAATAAAAACTTCTGCTCTGTGAAAGAAAATGTCAAAAAAATGAGAAGACAAGCCATGAACTCGGAGAAAATATTTGCAAAAAACACATTTGATAAAGGACTGCTATATAAAATACACCAAGACCTCTTAAGATTCAATAAGAAGACAACCCAGTTAAGAAATGGGCAAAACATCTGAACAGACATGGCATCACAGAAGAATCAGTGATGGCAAAGATACTCCACATCATGTGTCATTACCGAAGCGCGGATTAAACCAACCGTAAGATTGCCCTTCTACAGCGGTGAAAACGGTGGAAACTGCGAACACTGACAACAGCAAGTGCAAGCAAGGATGTGGAGCAACAGGAACCGGTTCCTCCCTGCTGGCGGGAGCGCAAGACGGGGCGGCCAGCTGGGAGGGCAGCTCGGTGGCTTCTTAACAGAACTAAACATACTTTTACCATACAATCCAGCAACCCCACCCCTTGGTATTGGCTCAAGGAGTTGAAAATTTATATCCGTGCGCAAGCTATACACGAATGACGGCAGTGGCTCTATTCGTCATGGTCGGGACTTGAAAGTTCTGACCTTCAGCAGGTGAACAGATTAACTGTGGTCCATGCAGACAATGGAGAACCGTTTAGCGCCAAACAGGAACGAGCTATGAAGTGAGGAGACAGGGAGGAGGCTTACGTGCATATCACAAAGTGAAAGAAGGCCGCTCTGGAAAGGATACGTGCTGTAGTAGTCCAACTGCAGGACGTCTAGAGAAGGCAAGGATTATAAAGTGGAAACACTCTCTTATGTCTGGAAATTTAGGGGATCAAATATGAAACATCTGAACAGTTACTATTAAATAGTAAACATTTATACTACGACTAAACCACCTTCTAACCCTCAGACATCAACAGTTATACCAGAAACAAATGAGTCAATCAGAACTTCTGTGACACAGGAAATGCCGTAAACTTTATAAAAAGATAAAAGAATCACGTGTCACAAACTGGCAAACTTGGTAAACTAAGTCAAATTTCCATTAAGGAACAGCCCATCTCATTCTAAATTTTACAACTGTTACAAAAACTTGGGAGCTAATCTGTATGTTTATAGTAATTGTTTCTACAAATGTTTTCTTTTGCCCGCATTTATTTCATTAATAGCTTTTAAGAATAAAAACATGAATTTCAATCGAAAGAGTCTCTACAGTTACCCTTGTTACTTGCGGATTCTGCATTTGTGAGCCTGCCTACTTCCTACAATTTACTTGTAAACTTCTGCATTGCTCGCGGAGCCGCGCAGAGCAGCGACAAACCCGAGGACCAGACGCGCACGTTCCCAGTGGGGGCTGAACAAGGCAATGCTGGGCCTTCATCCAGTTCATGCCACAAACAGGTTTCCTTCCTGTGGTCTATTTAGTGCTAATTTTCCCACACGTTTATGCTTTCTGCTGGTGACTGGTCTCAAAAGTGCCAGCGCGGAGCGCGGCCGTGCTCCCAGGGACCCGGTGGCCTCCTTCGGTGTCGGTTACGTGCGGCTGGCCAGGCGCTCGGGCTCTTTGACACAGCGCACACGTACGTGATGTTTTCCAGATACACACGAGGGTACGTATGGATCGGCCGATGAGGACAGGACCAGGGGCTCACAGGAGCCCAGCCCTGCTTCCTCTGGGAGCGATGGTTCAGTGCTCAGGAACCCGTGTCTGTGGGCTACTCTGTAGGACGTAACACCAGGAATGACAGGGATCGACTATATTACTGTCGTTGAGAATTCAGGTTTTTTCATTATTACTGATTTTCACGTAAATGATTCTTTCCTATGACTGGGATAGAACATCACGGAATTTTAAGTTTGGTTTAGCTTTGCTATAAACAACAAACCTAAGTGTCTGCAAACAAGTTATTTTTCCGGATCATACTTTCTCATCTGTATGTTAGACTACATGAACTTCAAAATACGCGTGCTTTTTAATTTTTTTACAGTAAAGACAATCAGATTTAAACACGAGTGGCTGAGGAAACGACACAGATCTGCAATATGACATGTCCCCGTCAGGGAGATGTCAGGTTAAAGCGTGAGGGCAGTGAGGACGGGAAGGTCTCTGCTGGCCTGGGGCATCCCCCTGCCCCAGGGGTAGAACGGGCGGGCACAGCCGAGATAGTGGGAGGAGAGCCCTGGGCCCAGGGCAGGTGGCTGCAGAGAAATAGGAGAGTGGGTGCATCCTGACAGGGGGCCGGTCACTGCTGTCGATGCCACACGATGGGGGGGGGGGGGGGCCGGGGCCCACAAGGGAGGTAAGACTCAGCAGCACTGCGAGATCGCAGTGAAGCTTGTCCGGGCCACGCACCTGCTCTCCCGCTCCACCTGCATCAGTGGCCAGGTGAGGGCTCAGGATGTGCGCGTGGGGTTCATGTGGGCTGGGAGCACCACACGGGTTGGGGGGGAGGGGGTCACACTGCTGCTGCTTCCACTAAAAGCACTTCGGTCCACTGATCCGTGTAACAAAACCTATGCTTTCTCTGCCGTCTCTAAGCACAACCACCTAGAAGGACTTCGCTCCTGGTGCCCTGAACGACGCGGGGCAGATGAGGAGGGGCGGACGACCAAGCCCTCTGACGGAGCCTGCAATCAGAGCTGTGCCCGGACACCCCTGGACGCCATCGCCGTACCGTGCTGCACGCGAGATCGCACCGCACGGCCAGCATCCGAACCGAACACACGCATCAGGATCGGGAAGGATCAGGAGGCGGAGGCCTTATTCCCCCCAACGTCCAAACGCCGAAGCCTTCCTATTTCCCGGTACAAGGCAAAAGTATCAAGTGACTCACTGGGACGTGGGAGACATTTATGAATTTAATGGTGAGTTATCAAGAGTAAGAAAGCAAATGAGGCGTTTGCTGGGACGAAAGCAGAGATAAAGTTGAGAAAAACATGTGTCGGTTTTCCACATCAGCAACGGAGCTGTGGATGCTACGTACCGATAAACGTCTGACACTTGAAACACTCTTCCAGCCAGTCCGGCGTCACGATGTGCTTCACCACGGAGATGGCCGTCAGGAACTTCACCGTGCGCGTCACTTTGCTGGCGATGAGGTGTGTGCATTTCTGCGCAGACTCGGCGACCTCGCCCCCAAGGATGTAGAGCTTCTGGAGGGAGGGGCACAGAGCGGAGGTGAGCGCGGGGCCACACCTGAGCGAGGCACACTGCGCTGGCCTGAGAGCTGGGAGACGGCGAGCACAGCAACGCACACGGACGTGTCCGGAGTCGACCCCGCGCCTTGAGCTAAAACCAGCGATTCCCCGAGGGCCCCGGTATCACACCCCACAGACACGATGCCCGGAGAACAAGGCGGTGCGTTTCACGAAAAGGCGCGAACACGCCCAGACTTTCTAAGCTGAAATGGGTGTTGATGAGGCACATTAACAGACAGACCCTGTTCATAAAAATTAGAGAAGTGACTGAGAAGACGTGAACATCCAGGAAAGATCTCCGTAACTAGGCTCAATTTTAAAAGTGAAAAAAACTGATACGGCACTTAGGACGGTTTCTTCTTCTTCAAAACCTGAGCGGTACGATGAACGAAGCCCATGTGATAACAGGCCGACTTACGCCCTCTGAACCGCCGCCCCCGAAACAATAGCCAAGCGAGGTGTCCCCTCCCTTGTGCTGTTACTTCCGACAGCACGCTGAAGGCTGCGTTCCCACTTCCTGTCCAAGCACAAGCACGCGGCTGCCCTGGTCCCCACCCAGGAAAACCGGCCTCCGGTGGCCCGCGGCTTCCCCGACGCCGGGCGGGGGGAGGGGGGGGAGAGGGCACGCTTCCGGCACGAGCACGTTCAAGCAGGTTGCTCGCGTTCGCAGGACCATAAATGTGGGTCTTGTCTACTCACCCGAGTTATAGTTTCTACTATTAAGAGAGCAAGGGTCTAAGTATAAAACTATAAAAACCACAGAACAAGGTGAAACGTCACTTACGATTTAATGGCTACTTTTACTGTAAAAATGACTACAACTGATTTACAAGCCAAAAACTCTGTTGTAGCAAGACGTTCCCGATTAAATGTTACTTTAACACACTGCTAGCCTAAAGCCAAGTGTACAAAAAGGAACGGTGCTAAAACTCCTCCCAGAAGGTAGAATGGAATTTCACCTTAATATACTGTTGAACTTGCACAGGCTCAAATCCAGTGAAAAGCACAAAAGGGGTCAATTCTGGTGTTAACTTTTTGGTGGGAGGGGGTAGATCTTCAATTCTGTGAAAGAAAATAAACATGTTGTTTAACAAACAACAGATTCTAACAGCTTGCACAAGCCTTCAGAGCTCCGAGTGTGCGGGGTTCCTCGGTAAGGGGCAAGCGCGAGGGCCTCCCCGCCTTGGACGCGGTCACCCCCGAGACCGACGCGCTCCGGCTCAGGCGAACGCCGTCTCTTCCTCACCCCCCCCCCCCCCCCCCCCCGCACACAAAGGTCTCCACGGGCTTTAAAAAAGCAAGTGGGGGCTTTAGCCGGCTGTGCCAGTGGAAGCGTCCCTCACGGGCCAGGCAGTGGGGGGCGTCCACGCCGGCCAGGCAGTGACAGGGGCATCCCCGGAGCCGCACCTCTGGCAGGCGCCAGGCCCCTGTCCGCCGCCCTTACACCAGAAGCACAAAGCAAGCGATCTGACTCAGGCACGCATTTTAAATGAAACCTCAGTCTCACGCAGCTGACAGTTGAGGCCATTTAGGTAAAATAATTTTGTAAGGTTTGTGGCATTTTGATGACAACTTAAAAAACGCGTCATCACATGACTGAGACGTTCCTGAACGCTTCTGGAACGTGGACTGTGATGTGGGGGTGCAATGGGCCTGATGCAGAGCAGGGGAGAGGCGAGGGAAGCTGGTGACTGCGGAGGACAGCCTCATCGAGTCCGCCTTGGAAGTAACGGCTTTTCCACAGTCACGAAAGGAGAAAGGTCCCCGCTCATCCTGCACCTGCCCTGCCTTACGAATCACATGACCCACACCGGCCAGCCAGGTCTTCGGCAGGCGAGACCACCGCCTCCGCACACGTCCTTCCACGGGGCTCTCAGCCCCTGCCCGCCTGGGCCGCGGGGCTCACCTCGGGGACGCAATCCCACACTTGCTCCCGCGGCGCGGCCCGCCAGCCCTTCCCGCCTGCCGCTTTACCGACTGCGGTGGGACACAGTTTTGCTTAAAAATAAAAAGATGCAGGGCGCCTGCGTGGCTCAGCCGGTTGGGTGTCCGACTTCGGCTCAGGGTTGAGCCCCGCGTCGGGCTCTGTGACAACAGCTCAGAGCCTGGAACCTGCTTCAGATTCTGTGTCTCCCTCTCGCTCTGTCCCTCCCCTGTTCACGCTCTGTCTCTCCCTCAAAAATGAATACACTTAAAAAATATAAAACTTATAAAACCAAAAAGATTCAACTTTTTTTTTTTTTTTTAAACTAAAGAGAAAGATATGTCTGTCCCCCTTCTGGGCCTGGCCACGAGAGCCAGCACAATGAGGTTATAAACCAAGAGGAAGTCAGAAGATCCTGTTTTCTATGAAAACGTCCCGGAACCTCCCCAACTGTGAGCGTTTCTAACACAGGCCTGCAGAGAACCCCAACCGTCGCGGTGGGAAGGGGCTGTCCGTACCTGGCTCTTTTGGAAGAAGGCTGGACGTTGGTCACTTCGTTCTGCTTCAGTTTGGGAGGTAGCCTCACACCCTGTAATCACACCGGTGTCCACGTCAGTCGACTGCGCACAAAACACAGCAGCTGCCCACACACCCGCGTCAGAGAAGCGTCCCTCCGCCACACGGAAGCCAGCCGCGCCTGGATGGCAGCGAGGAGGACGCCGGCCAGGGGCCAGCGGGCTTTCTGGAGGGGCCCGCGTGCCTGGCACCTGCCCGCCGGCTGGCCCTTCCCGGCCCAGCTGCACGTGCGGTCCTCCGCCCCCGCTACCACACAATAGCGTTCGTTCCCGCGTCGTCTGCTGTCCCGACGTGGGATTTGGAAAACACTCCCTGCAATCTCGCCCCTAAGACACGGCTGTTCCCGCAACAGAAATCTGGCGTGTGGCGGCTCACGAAAGCCGTCCCCGGACGGACCGCCGCGCTGCCAGGGGCTACGCGGGTCACTCGTTTTACTGCGTGAAGCCACTGCCTCTCCATCTCGGGCATTTGCCTTCACGTTTTCTAAACACCCTGGCTGTATCCACACGACCAAAAAGAAAGTCGGCGCATCTCCAGAAAACACGCGAGACCCGCTAGCCCGTCAGGCACGGGGCCAGGCTCTCCTTCTGTGACCTTTGCCCTGAGGACACAACCCTCAGCTCCTTAGTCTCCAAACTCCGCACGTCGGGGGCAATGAGGAACAAGGTAAACTGGCCCCCGAGTCTCTGAGACCCGCGGCTCTGTGACCGCCACACGAAGCCGCGGGACAAGCCGCCGTCCAGGCCCCTGGGGCCGAGCGGGGGAGAACGTGACCGCGTTCCCACCTTCATCCCGAAGGCCACGGAACATCTCTGCCAGCCGGGCGAGTCAGGAGAATATTTGCTTTTGCTGGTGTGTCAGAGCCAGTCGTGTCTTACAAATCATAACTACTAGTTTAAGCAAAGAAAAAACACAGGACCACATTATCATTAGCCTACGGGCTCCTTGACAGACTCCGGACGATTCTCAGCAGCTCCCAGGTTAGATTCGGAAATCAAGCAGGGCAGACCATCACAGAACACAGGCCGGGGTGTCACTGGGTGACCCTGACCGGAGGGTTCCCCTCAGTTCATTGTTTACGGGGACACAACCCCCCAATTAACTCTGTAGTGCTGAGGGATGTGCTGAAAATCAGCGGGCACGTGACTCAAGTCCCTTAATACGAACAGACAGGTGAATACACACGGTGACCCGGGCGTAACCCTAACCCCTACATCACACGGCCACCCGGCATCCAGGGATCACACGGCGTGGTCACCGCAGCGTGACACGGAAAACAGGACCCGACGTCCCAGCATCACACGAGGGAGATGTGGCCGCCCGTCCCTGCTTCCGAGACAACAGCCACCGGCATCCGACCCCCTCGCGTCCCGAGCCGGCGGCCTCGCCCACCGGGGCCCGGCCCACAGTGAGGGGGTCCCCGTCCTGTAGCACGGGCGGCCCGACGCGAGTCAGAGCGGCCAGCGCTGTCCCAGGGCTCCTGCCCTGTGAGTGCTCGTGCCTCCCCTCGCGCTGCAGCTCCTCGAGCAGTGCTCCCCCGTGCACACACGCGGGCAATGACAAAAGCACCGACTGAAGGGAGCGAAGACCCCGGGTGTGCTGAACATTCTACGACGTCGTGCTGACACATCGCTTAAAGAGTTTCGAACGTGCAAACACAGGTCTGTGCCTACCGCGTTCCTGTAAGACAGGGACAGCCCGAGCGACTGGGCCGCTGACTGGACGTACCATCAGCAGTTCTGCCGACACCTTCAGCGGGACCCTCCAGGCATCTAGAGAGAAACGGGTTACGTTTACAACAGCATACTGTTCAAGCAGAAAAGCCCGTTTGTAAAGCCCTTTTCTGGGGCCGGTAACGTTACATCAGACACGTCGGGGGCTCAGCGGACACTCATTAAGGATAAACGCAAGCACCACGCTTATGCTGAAAAACGTTTTCAGTACAACGTAAGGGGAGAGCAGCCGCGGGACATGCTCGCGTGTCCCGTACTGAGGGTTCTCCAGGTGAGGGACACGAAGAAACGCAGCACGGCACAGGTGTCCAGAGCGGAGCCGCCCCCCAGCCCACCCTGGCGTCACTCCGGAAGCCGTTGCCGGGAACCACAACCACCCGTGACAACGGGAGGCCCACACGGAGGACCACGGCACGTCAGGGTGGCCGAGGGACCGGCACACCTCCCTACACGATGGCCGTGCTGACTGCTTCAAGGACCGACCACAGGTCTCGGTAAAGCTCCCAGAACTGAAGTCAAACGGGCAGACACGTCCCAGGGAAGCAGACTGTGGCTTAAAACGAAGAGCCATCCAAACACCAAACTCAAGAGCCACGATTAAAGCCACCGGAAAACCAGACTTAATGAGCATTTTGAAAACGGAGCCTATCAAGGCCGAGCTTGAACGGGCATTTTCTGGAGCGCATTCGGCTGAGTGTCAGAGCGTGTCCCGCAGGGCGGGGGTCCATGTGGCCCAGGACGAGCAGCTGGCAAGGACAGGGGAGACCACAGGTGCTGGCCTACAGCCGAAGGAGCACAGGCGGGCACGGGACACCAGCAGGGGCTGGCTGGGGAGACCAGACCGAAAAGCGGAGTGCTCCTTCTATCCCCGGCATCTACTAAAAAGGCAGACGAGAACACCAAACCGGCTAGAGCCCCTGGGCAGGGTGGGGGGGAAGGGACTAAGAGGAAGCTGGCGCACAGCGGTGCCTCGGGCAAGCGAGAGGCGGTGGACGCACGTCTAGCTCCCGCACTAATGAACCTGACCCGAGAAACTGCACTTACCCAGGAGACTGAAAACCAAGTGCGGGGTAGGGGCAAAGGGCTCCTGCAGACTGAACGTCGTGTAGCGGCCGCAGTGGGCCTGTCTCAGCGCTTCGAAGTTCCCCAGGAGAATGTCGCCAAGCCACTGGGCGTTCACGCACGGTATTCTCCACTCCTTGGCCTTTTCGTACTTCAAACCGGCAGGCCTTTTTGGTTTTGAGGAAAAACACACTTCGTTAAATGCTAGAAGCATCTACCGTTCAAACCAGTGTTTCTTTTGCATCTGGTATCAGAGACCCAGCAGGGCTGCCTGAGCCAAGGCGACGGCAGCCCCTGGCTGGCGATCGCGATCCCACGGTGCGTCCAGGCTCACGCCGCGGTCCCACATCGCCCGCGAGCCCCGCGTCTGCCTTCCTCCCCGGACCCGACTCAGCTGACTCAAAGCCCGCGAATTTGAGATTCTAGTTCACCGCAGTGCTTTACGGACGCCTCTGCGAACGTCCAAACTTCACTGCTGTTACTCCCACAGACCGATTTTCGGGCTCCCACCACGGAACGCGACGCGGCGACCGACACCGAACTGCTGACACACCCGCCAAGTCGTAAGCGGACTTGGGAGCCCACGTGGCGTCAGAGGCGTGCTTACTCTTTACAGATGAGCACCGTGTTGCTGCGGCACAGGTAGCCCGTGTACTTGGCGCCTGCCAGGTAAGCCATGAGCTTCAGGTCGTCCCTGTCACTGTCGACAAATCCAGTCACAGAAATAATCTAAGCACAAAGAGAGCAAATAAGGCCAAGACGCAGTGACGATTTAACCCGTGGCCACTTCCTTCTCTGGGCCTGTTCTGTGCACGTGGCGTTCCCGCGGGCAGCTGGGAACGCCGCTCCCGACAGTGTCGAAAGCAGCATCCTATTCACGGGACGCAGGCTACGTCTGTAGCCGACGGGGGAGACGACCGAGATACCAGACCCGGGGAAGTTCTTCTGTGTCGGGAGGACGCTGCTGACGTCACTTTAACATAGCCGTCCTACTAAGCGTGTAAATACGAACGGGCGAGTTCTGCACCCTCCCTGCCCATCCCAGTTCTGAGGTCGTCGGAGTGAGAGAGCCCACAGGTACCGACAGGGGCCTGCCCGGCGGCGGCCACTCCGGCACAAGACCCCCGCTTTACTCCGGGACCTTAAGTCGCGTCTGAGACGCTGGAGACCCGGTGAGACTCTCCTACGTGCAGGAGCCTGTGCCGCCAGGCGCACGGGAGGGGAGGTGTCTGCCCCGCCTGGGCCCTCGGGCGCCGGGCCAGAGGGAGCCCGAGCGGGAGGCAGAAAGCAGCGCAGGACCCAGTCTGCCAGAGGAGGATGAACACAGAACAAAGCCGAGTCCCTTACGTGCTGAGAACACGGCTTCCCTCCGGGGGGGAAAGCCACCGGGAAGTGAAGGGCACGGTGGGGCGGCACCATCTTCCGCTTCTTCAGGACGGTGTTTAGCCAGTGCGCCGTGACACATCTCTTCCTCTCCCTGATCGCCTACCAAACACAGAATCACGGGTCTGTTGTGCTTGGGGCTTTGTGGCTGCAGGGTCACGCACAAAACCGCAAGGCTGGACAGCTACGACGACACCTTCCCGGGATCAGGAAGCCCTCGCGGGAATGTCACGACATCTAGCCCTCGATTTACCAGAGGGACAAACGTCACGATCAAGAACGTGACGGCCCACGCGCGAACGGGAGCCTGCAACCGGGGCAAAGGCAACACGCTTTGTAACCACCTTAAAAATAATCACGGCATGAGATCACATCGATGATCATCAAAATTCAATTAAAATGCCCCTGCAAGAACATGGAGGGCCCCCAAAAGAACAGGCTCCGAGAAGACGTCACCGCCTACCTAAAATCAGCCATGGAGGGGAAAAAAACCTCACAGGCATTTCTACAGTTTTAGTTGGAAAGCGGATCCAGAAAAAGGCTACAGTGTCGAAGAGCAGTTTCGGGGAGGTTGTTTATCACACACGTATTAACAGGGTTCTGTCCACAAGTAAGAACACTGTTAGAAGAGAAGACACGAACTTGAGGCCACAGACGAGGGGACACCACGCGAGCCCACGCCCTGCAGGAGTTTACAGAGGCTCCGTCCGGCCCCACGCACGAAGGCCCCCAAGGGCGCGAGTCCCGCTTCCGCCCCCCACTTGGTCACGGGGCTGCCCTGGACTGAGAGAAGGGGCGCGTCCTTGGCACACCGCGCTCAAGGACGTCAAGGCCAGGCGACCACAAGCTTATTTGTCCCAGCAAAGACTGGTGAAAAGAAGGGACTCTGCTATCTTCAGAGGCAGAAAAAGGTTCTTTCCAAACACAGCAATCACTAGAATCCTAAGATGGTCCGCAAAACGGGCCAGACTTCATTCCAGTCACAGGGGACGCCGCCCTACTCACCTGTGCGTACATCCCGCTGACCTGACTCTCGCAGAGGAGATGTGTGCATCGGCTCGAGAACGTCGGGTCCACGGTGCCGCCGTGCGCCTGGATTATCTAGACACACAGGAGAGCCGATGTCACAATCAACCTCGTGTGCTCAGGAGGACAGGGTACGGTTTCCGATTACACTATTAAGGAGCCCATCGTCTATTTTTATAGTATATTTCACCAGAACATATACGATACACGTATGGGTTATATTTACAGGTTCTCCACTCAGCACCGTTAAGCGAAAATGAGCTCCAACGTTCATTTAACTCGAATTTCCAGAGGGAAAGACAAGAGAAACGAACGTTCTCTTTTGGTAACACGGTTCCCTCCACCTCGCACTGCTCACGTTCTAGACCAGCCAGCACCGCGTGGTGGAGGCCGTCCTACGCTCCCCTGACCTGCACCCAATGGACGCCTACTACCCGCCCTGGCGTCATGACATTTCAGACATTGCCAAACGTCCCTGGGGGGCAGAGCCACCCTGGCTAAGAGCCATTGTAAGAAATAAATAAATAAATAGCAGGAAGTTAGCAAACCCCGAAATTGATCTTTAACAACAGATCTGTCTTAGGGCTGAGGGAACTATTCTGTGGCATTGCATGGTGCTGGCAGCATTTGTGAAAGTCCAAAGAACCGCGCACCAGAAGGGAGGGACTTTCGCGGTCTGTTAAAAAAAAACATCTGCCCCACAAAACGGTTCTGCTTCGTTTACTTTTTTTTAATGCTTATTTTTGAGAGACAGAGAGTGAGCAGGGGAGGGGCAGAGAGAGAGAGAGGGAGACACAGAATCCGAAGCAGGCTCTAGGCTCCGAGCTGTCAGCACAGAGCTTGACGTGGGACTCAAGCTCACAAACTGTGAGATCGTGACCTGAGCTGAATTCGGACACTTAACCGACTGAACCACTCAGGCACTCCTTGCTTCATTTACATTAAAAAAAAAATTTTTTTTTTAAATGTTTATTTATCCCTGAGTGAGACACAGCATGAGCAGGGGAGGGGCAGAGACAGAGAGAGAGAGAGAGAGAGAGAGACAGAGTCTGAAGCAGGCTCCAGGCTCCCAGCTGTCAGCACAGAGCCCGACGTGGGGGGCACGAACCCACGGACCGCAGAATCGTGACCTGAGCCAAAGTTGGATGCTCAACTGACTGAGCCACCCAGGTGCCATTTACTTTTTAAATTTGATTTTGGTCGGGGCGCCTGGGTGGCTCATTCGGTCGAGCATCTGACTCTTGATTTTGGATCAGGTCGGGACCTCAAGAGTCGTGAGATCGAGCCCTGGGTCAGGCTCCGTACTGATGGTGTGGAGCCTCCTGGGGATTCTCTCTCCCCTGCTGTCCTTCCCCCACTCACGCTCTTTCTCTGGAAAAAAACAAAACCAGAATTTACCGATTTTTGTTTCAGCAGTTCACAAACATGGCTTACTAAGGCATGTGAGCAAACGAGTGGTTTCTACACCACTGGTTCTCATCCCCCTGCAGCAAGCACAGTCCGCTCTTCGCGTGTCTTCCGACAGTTCCGGGTATGTTCTCACGAATCCACGCCTCCTGACCTCCGCCTGCGGGGCTCACCCAGGCTCGCATCTCCTGCAGTTGTTAAGAGCCGTATTCCCTCCCTCCCGCCTGCCTTTCTTAGTTTTCTATGCACCTTTCACTATGTCATTCCCAAACTCTTCAACACACAACTACCGTCCGTGGTGGTATCTGTGCCCACAAATCCCTGGACGCGCCTCCCTTCAGAGCAGAGCTTGGCCTCCTGGCTTGGTACGGGCTGGACAAACAGGATACGGTGCAGCGACCGCATGCGGCTTCCTAGACAGGAGACGCTGTGGCTTCCTCCCTGCTCCGCCTCAGGTCACCTGCCCCGGCGGAGGCCAGCGCTGCCCCAGCCCCACAGAAGGCCCCGTGGCTCCTGTCGCCCGGCTCCTCCCGACCACACGTGAGCAGAGTGCCTCGGCCACAGCCACCCTACTGAGCCACGGCAGGGTCTCCACTCACGAAGCACCCTCCAGGTGACACGTGTTCCCTGCTGGGAGTCACCATGTTGCGGAGGACTCGTTACACAGCAGAGGGCACGGTGTAGCTCTTCCCGCCCTGACAGATAAGGCACATCAGGTCACATCAGAGCGCGTGTCAGCTGCCCCTCGGGGACTGCTCCTCCCGCTCCGAGGCCGGCGCCTCCCTCCACTCATCTCCACGACTGCCCTCCACCCTCACCCAGAGAATTCCTCTCCCATCTCCGTGGGAGGGGACGCCCAACCGTGGCCACCTGAGGACGCTGTCACCACAGCGGTGCGTCACGGGCAGACAGGCCGCGACATCCGAAGCCAGGAGCCACTCTTCCTCGGGGCTCCGGAGACGCCGCCGGCTGCTCCGTGACGCCTCCCGACTGCTGCTTCTTAGAGCCGTCCCTGGGGCGCAGCTCCGGGCAGCCCTCCCTCTGTACCCCGAACTTGCAGTGACGGTGCCCATCCGTCCCTCTCCACGTGCTCCTGCCCGTGCTTCGTCTGCACTGGCACGCCTGTCCCTTGCTACGTGCCCTCCTGGACCAATCCCGGAGCTTCAAACAGAAGCAGACTTGTCTCTCTTTTGTGTCTTTGAGTTACAAAGATATCTTTGTTTTGAGGCCAGTTTCTACACACCACCTTCCAACACTTCTGTGATTTTTAGAGAATTTCCCGCTGCCGTGATTCTCAGACGGGCCTCTCCCCTCCTCTCTCTGCCTCCTGCCCCAGGTCAGGTTACCAGCATCTCCCAACTGGCCTAGTCACCTGCCTGCACTCCCGTAACTCAACGTTTCATGGTTTGGCATGTATGTCTCTCCTTTTTCTACATGCTTTAATAACTACAGGGAGAAAATCCGACTTCTGTAACGTGGCACAGGAAGAAGGTCTTCGAAGGGGTGGCCTGGCCGGGAGCCCGTGCCTTCCTGCCACCCCCTCCCCATCTGCACCGAGGGTTTCTCACTGGGACACCCTCCGTGCTCCCTCCTGTTTGTCCTAAGACTGAGTGCAGGAACCACCTGTCCCCACAGGCCTCTCTCAAGGCCCCCGCCCCCACCCAGCGGGCTGGGTTTTCTCACGGCTCTCGCTGCACCTGCCGTCCTGCCTCCTGCTCATCACAGGTGGCTGTTTCTCCGACTCATGTGCGGTTTTCTCCCCCTCGTGCATTCCCAGTATTCTGTCTCACACGGAGAGTGTTTCAACAACAGGAATGCTTTCGGGGAAGCGCATTTAAGATCTGCCCGAAGCATACTTACAGTCTTTTTTTTTTTTTTTTTTTAAATTAGAATCAGTTTTGATTTGCGGCACTAACGGGAAAAGCGTTTACTTCTCCTTTTCCTTAAAGGCCAACATACAAAATAATAAATACGAGCACTACGGTTCCACTACAGACTAGAGACTCTGAGGTCCCTTCCCAGCTGGAGAGTCTAAGATTGTCCGGCACTCACCTCTGGAGACAGAAAGGATTAAGGCACACAGAGGATGATGGTCCTTATCCCAGGGCACCAAATACCTGATCTCATTCTCACATCCCCAGTTATACACAAATAACCTGTGGCCCTGAGAGTTTAAGAGCTGGAAGAATCTCAAGAATCACGAAGTCCAACATGCTTCCCTTACAGCGGGAAACACTGAAGCCCAGAAAAGCGATCTATCTGCCCAAGGTCACAGAGTGTCAAAATAAAATGCCCATAACACATTCCCAACACAACAACGTGCAGGTCACTGAGGGCAGCCAAACGGACGGAAGGCCAGTCTGCATTCCGCAAGTCCTCAAGACCGAGCTGTGTTTCTTCAGGCACAACTCACCCTCTTCCAGGTGGCCAGGAGCTGTTTATCAGACATCTGCTCGGGATAATCCGCAATCGCGAACACACAGCCCAGGAGGAACCCTTCTTCGGGAACTGGAACGGAATCACACGAGGAAAATAAAACCCCCTGAGTACGTGTGTGCAAAAAACGGAGGCGTTCACTTTGCTGCGTTCATTCTGCATTTCTGAAGCCGGTCGCTCTCCACCGGGACGCTCGCAGCCTGAGCGGTACGTTCAAAACACAGGTCCGCGGGCTTGACGGTGCACACGAAGTGATCAGACACTGTGTGCGCACGGATGAGTGCGTGGAGCCCCGTGAGGGGCCCCAGTGCTGCCTTCAGGGGCCAGGACGCCCCACCGTGACAAGTGGGGCCCGCGTTGGGGACCGGACCCGTTCCCCTCCGTGAGGACCCTCCCGACGGGAACCCTCAGCCCCTCACCCCACCCTGGCGCCTCCCGACAAGACTTTAGGGGGGAGAGAGACCGCGCGCGATACTAACTCTCCACTGCCGGGTCGTGTCCAAACAGCTGGTGCGGGTGCTGGTGCGGGTGCTGGTGCGGGTGTGGGGGCGGCGGCGGCGGCTGCGGCTGCGGCGGGGGCGGGGCCTGGGGCTGCAGGGCCTGGGGCGGCGGGGGCGCGGCGGGCGCGTGCATGTGCTGCTGCAGGTGCAGGCGCTGCAGCTGGGCCAGCTGCTGCTGCTGCTGCAGGTGCTGCTGTAGCTGCTGCTGCAGGTGCTGCGGCGGCTGCGGGTGCTGCGGCTGCAGGGGCGGCTGCGGGCGGGGCGGCGGCTGCGGGAAGGGGTGTGGCTGCGGCGGGGCGTAGGGCTGCTGCGGGATCTGCGGTTGAGGCTGGAGCTGCAGGATCTGCTGGGGCGGAAGGTGCAGGACCGGGTGCGGCGGCGGGGGCGGGGGCGGCGGCTGCGGCAGGTGGGGCTCCGGGGCCACCTTCACTTGGCCGAACAGCACGGCACCGGCGTTCGCGTGGCCCTGCTGGCTGTGGTTCACCTGATGCTCTAAGGTTTTCGTGGGCGCTGAAAGGGACTGTAGGATCTAGAAAACAAAAATGAGGCGAAGTCATTAGCGACAGGGAAACGGACTAACGTCCTCCAAGCGGGAGAACGCGAGCGGACCCAGCCGTCTCTTCAGCACCGCGCGACACGGAGGCACCAAACGGCAAGCGTCACCAACTTCGATAAAGCGAACGAATTCACCGGAATTCAGAATTCGGAAGTAGGTAACACGGAACGAGCTAATGCCTTCAAATTGACACACGTGTAAACTGACACGGCTGATGCGTTCGACAGAGCACAGTCACGGGGCTACAAAAAAAAAGGGGCGGGGGAGGAGAAAAGAGAGGCGCCCTGCTTCCTCGCAGGGGTCTGTGCGCCCCCCGCAATGTGCTGCGGACACAGCGCCTCACCGGCACCCCCCTGTCCCCCTGCCAAGCTCCACACTTCTCCTGACCCAGGGATGCTCCAGGGAAAAAGTGGACCCTGCAGCCAGTCGGCCTGGCCCGAGCTCCTCCCCGCACCTGCCATTTTCCAACAACGAAAGGGGCCCCGTAAGAGGCGGATGTGAAGACCACCCCCCAGTGAAAGCACCCCCACCCCCCTCTTCTGTGGTTACCCTGCCCTGCGCCCTGGCAGCTCTGTAAACGGGGGCCGGAAAAGACACCAACGGTAGGTCTGTTTAATGGCAAACGGTCCCTCAACTGAGAAATCCTCAGCACAGCTGGTGAGTCAACCTTCCCCCAAAAGGACGGGGGCTCTTCAGAAGGAGCGAAGTGTTTCGAGCCAGAGAAAATCCAACTGCCCAGACCGTTCCCTTCTAGTTCCTCCTTCACGACGACAGGCGTAAGCGGAGAGCCGCCCACAAGCTGAGGGGAGGGAGGGGACAGGGCCAGGAGTCGGGAGAGGCCAGAGCACCAGATGGCACATTATTGTATCATCCTGCACAGCACTGAATGTTATGTCCTACGATGAATTTTTTCCCAATTAAAAACACACTTGCCATTTAAACAAAACTCTAAAATCCAGTTGCAACGTAAGCCATGACTAAATCGAAAACCTCAAGTATGTTCTTAAAATGTATCTTCCACTTAAACAGACTCCAGAACGTAAAGGCCACATAATTTGCAAGGGTGGCAGACTCTGGATTTCGTGGCCAAACAGCTGCCTCTAAAACTGATGGAGGCCTGGCGCCCGGGGGGCTCAGTCAGGTGAGCATCCAACTTCGGCTCGGGTCATGATCTCAGGGATCATCAGATCAACTTCCACGTCGGGCTCTGCTCTCAGCAGAGAGCAGGGACTCTGTCTCCCTCTCTCTCTGCCCCTCCCCGGCTCGTGCTCGCTCTCTCTCAAAAATAGGCAAACATTAAAAAAAAAAACAAACAATAAAAACGAAGGCCAAACTCGAGGCTTGCACGATCTGTCTTTGAAATCACTTACAGGTAAGACCTCTCTCTCCATAAGGAGTTCTCTCCACACTTCAGAAGCTCCTCAGTAGAGCTCTAACCAGAAAATTTTTTTAACAAACTCATAACCGGCAGGGTAACGATTTATTCTCTATGCTTAAAAGTACTAAAAAGTATCGTGTAAAGCGGAGGGAAATGGACCTCAGCGCGTACCACACCCAGACAGCAGGACAGCAACTGGGATGCTCACGCGTCCACAAAAGCCTCGAGGGGCGGGTGGCGGACAGCTGCTAGGACTTCTGCGGATCAGTCCTGAGCCTGTCAGCGCAGCGGGCCAGTAACAGTGGCTGCTTCTGGAGAGGACACAGGAGTTAAGGGCAGGAGGGAGTTTACCACTTTGTACCCTTTGGTGCCACTTGAATTTTTTAAAGTTTGGTACACATGTATTTTTTTTACTGCAGAAGTCACAACCCACATGAGCTTGACTGGGAATAAGGAATAAAGGCCTGTCCTCCACGATGGGCAGGGTGAAGTCAGTGGTGTGCCTCAGGCTGCCTCCCCCGCCCCTGCACCCCAACCCCAGATCACAGGGCAGCTCCGGAAGGTCTGAAGGACCCTCCGTACAAAGGATGAAAAGACCAGGAGTGGCTGAAGGTCTGGAGCCCGAGGCTGTTCCCCTTCCAT